TTTTTTTGTCTTAAATTTTTGAATTTCTATATTGTAATTTTAATAACTTTTTATTTCTACTATTTATTAATTTTTTTTTCTTTAATATTTTATAATATTATTGAAAACTTATAATTTTAATCTCTATAATTTTATCTTACTTTTTATTTTATAAGTATAAGTATAATTTAGATTATTTATTTTATAATTAAATTAATTTTTTTTAAATTTTTTATGAGTTTACATAAAAAAATATATTGAAACCCTTCCATCTTTAAAGGTACCGTAGCAACTCCCCGGGCAAAACTTGTAGAGCACACAATGACCATAGTTAGAAGGAACAAAATTTGTATTAATTGAAACTTCAATCCAACACCTACAATATTGCTAAATCGATAACTTTTGTATTCCTTAGTTATTCAAATTGCCATCTCCATCGGAATAAATGTATGCAGCCACTATGAGTCAGCAATGTATTAAATCAAGGAAAAATGACATTAACAAGAAGAATGAATAAAGTTTTATTTAATCTTATTCAAGTGACAATTGTTTTCTAGATTTGAATTTTTTTCAATATATCCCCTCACGCCTAATATTAAATTTAGTATTTAGATAAATAGTAGATGACTATTTTTAATGATTTAAGATAAGTGACTTTTTTTAAGGATTTAGGATAACTTTAGTACCATCTTAGAATAGTAGATTTAAGCTTAACTTAACTTTATAAAATCGATTTATAAAATGAGGATTGAACTCTACTTATATATTTTTTAATTACCTTATTTCAAGTCAATGTGAGAATTACATTTTTTTTCTAATATTTTGGCTAAAAAAATCCTTGTGTTGGATAAGGAGGCACTACTATTGGGGCTTCTTAGACATGGCAGCACCTTTGTATCTTTCAGGTGGAAACCTTAAGCTGTCACAAGAAAATGTGAGATGAATGACCATGCAGCACATTAACATAAATATGTTAAACACCTAAAATGTAAAAACCAAAATATTGTGATGGGCGGTGGTGATCCAAATTAAACTCAATTGGACCACTGAAATATGAATGTAACAAATGAAAAGGGAAAACGACAGTCAGCATTGGAGTATGGGTGCTGTTTGGATTCTAAATTATGAGCATAGCATTTATGAGACCAACCCATTTTTCTTTGCTTCATTTATGATGGCTACTCATCTGACCCTTAAATCACGCTCTACATTTTTTTTTCCTGTCTTACACATTTTCAATGTTCAATCAATTTAAAAGAATAATGCAGGCCCCTTTGAGTTGATCCCACGCACATATGTATTGAGCATCCTAAATTTGAATTCTTAAGATCCGTCTAATGATAAAAGAATATGGTAATGTGTTCATACTCTTAAGTACCAACTTTCATATTATCATTATAATTTCAATAAATAAATAAAACTGCAGGTTCCAAACAGAGTTTTAGATGACTTCTCGCTGTGTTATTAGTCTAAAGGTACAAACCAGTTGGCCTGGTAAACTATACGATTAGAGAGCATGCTCTTTCGAAGAAAGAAAATATAAAAATTAAAAGAAATTGTATTTATATGTTGACGGTTTGTATTAAAAAACCTACGACCATACTTCTTACGAAACGAAAGGAGTATATTCTTTGTAAAATTTTCTGTATAACAAGGTAAATTCTCTGACGGACCATTTAAAGAAGTGGTGC